CTCGCAGACCGCTTTAAAGAAACGCGTAAAAATACATACTTTTATACCTCTTTAAAGAGGAATTCCTTAATTAAGGAATGTTATAGATACTTTATGCATATTTATAGAATTCTAATTCATTTAAATCAATACATTTTAAACATAAATCATTTGATTTTATGCAGGTAAATTCATATAAAAATATGACTATTTTCTTTTTTAATGTACAAAGTTTTTAAAGAACCAAGATTTTATTAAACATGCATGGAAATGTGTGACTTTATTAAGTATTACTGTCAGTTAAACCATAATTCTACAACAGTGAATTTAATTATTGATAAATAATAGATTAGTATATCTTTGTGTACAAGGATGAATCATAAGATGATATTCAGTCAAAACAAATTTTTTGAGAGCATGGTAGACACACTGGTTCCTTTCATTCCAAGCATTTGTATGCTGTTTTTCTTTCCTTACAAGGTGAGCACAGACTACATGTTTTTCTTTCTTCTAATTTTTCTTCTTGATTTGATAAATTCATTCTCTTAATTTACTTCTGTCTACGTATTCTTATAATTGTTATCTTCAGTTCCCTAAGCAAAAAAGCGGAAGTTATCCCAACAGGATATATCTGGAATAATATGTATGAACATAAATTCCAAGTGTCTTTAGGCTCTGCTCTAATGCCTATTTTTGCAGGATGTTTCAGACCAGGTTGCTAACTATTATGTTTTGGTGTTCGTATCGCCCAAGTTGGTTCTTTTTTGTTCCATTTGAAGTGCTTTTTTTCATAAAAATTATCATTTTGTTCACAGTTCATTAGAAAAATTATGACTTTCATCTGCAAAAACTTTTGGTTTCACTGTGAATACTACATGATTCTTTAGAATCAGAGTATTCTATGTCAAAAATGTTGACAAGATATTCAATTTCTTTTTGAGTGAGATATACGGGACATTTACTTGTAAAATTTGAAGTCATATTTATCACTTTTACGAAAAACAAGCATCCGATAAATAACATCTATCGTCACTAAAACTGCTATGCATATGCTGTGGGTGTTCTTCCCGACACCTACAAAAGTAAAAAACATGATAACTGAAACCATAATAAAGTTAGAAGTGTGAAACTGGATATGTGACTTTGTGAGACGGGTTTGGGAAGGTAGAAGAAAGGACAGGGACCATTCTCTGTTTTTAGGGGTGGAAACGACGGTTAGAACATCACTCACAGCAGTTACAGGTTAACTTATACCACTGAAAATATTTTCTGGTTTCATCATCACTTGCTGGGGTGGGCATAGTAAATGTTGCTTTTTCTTGCAAAATGATCTGTAATATGTGCTAGCATCACTTATAAGGTTAGATGTGATCTGGTAATGCTATTTTAGTTCTATAATCCCAACAGACATGAACCAAGGTATCACTATCTCTGAGAACAATAATAAAGTACTGAGAACATTAAAATAACGATTTTATTTAAACAGAACTTAGATTGGTCTCTTGTGCTACAAATAACCACAACTCATGGTGATGCAAATAAATAGAATAGTCCAATTTAAGTCCTATATTGAGTAGTAGTCGAGGATTACACAATTAAATACTATACCAGAAGCTGGTGCAATCACTTTACTAGTTCATCAGAATAAAAGTAATGTCAGTGAGAGAACGCAATTAGAAGAAAAGAAATCCCTAAAGCCAATAGCATAGACGATCCATGACACACGCGTGCAAAAAGAAGAAGGTGTCGTCTTCTTTTAAAGGGAATAATTAAAACTGTTAGAGCTGGTAGAAACTAATCATATAGCATGTATGTGATGCCAGAAACTCTCTCTGTCTCAAATTCAGAAACTTAGCTTAAATACTCACTACTAATTTGCATTCTGGAGAGGGATACAGAAAGTAAAAGTTGCAGTAGACTGAAACTGTAATAACTGATTAATTAACGTAAGACAGGGTTGCCACGCTACCTGGAAAACCGGGAGAACCGGGAAAAGTCAGGGAATTCGAAAATTGACCAAAAAATTCAGGGAAAAGTCAGGGAATTTAAGTATTTTTGTCAAAATCTGGAAAAGTCAGGGAAGTTCATATAATGATCCCGCCAAAAAAAGCGATTTTTGCGCCGACGTCGGAAGAGATAACTTTTTTGGCGAATTGCCTATCACGTGAGCGTCTGCTGGCATAGAGCCAATTTTCGCAGCTCCAATTTGATTGCCTTTTAGAAAGGCAAAGCAAGTTTTCCGCAACTTTTGGTTTCCAGTATTCTCGAGAATCGCATGTGCAGTGCATGAACTAAAGAAAGTGCCTGTTCTCGTATAAAACGAAATGGGTTTAATCTTAGTATACGGTACCATGGAGGTTAGAATCAAAGAATATGTATTGTAAAGAAGGAAAACCTCTCTGCAACAGACGTGGCTCCGTTCCATCATAGAGGGAAACAGCTGTGCATGCGTGATATATCTGCCGCCAAAGCTGAAAACCGGTGTCGAAGTTCGAAGGTCACGTTATCAAGGGTTCATTAATGAATATCCTTTAAAATTTCTTTAACCACTTGCGCTAAAAAGACGTGCCACGCACGTCGAGATGTTTTTGTCTCAAACTGCGAGCGACGTGAACACCACGTCGATAAGCATTTATCGCAAAAATGAAAATAACATGGTGCACACGTCGCCTAACAACGAGATTGTTTATTTCTCGAGTTACAGCTCTGGATTGCACTCGCAGATGCGGAGCGGCGTAAATGAGACACTTTACCACTTGCTATATTGTAGCGCACGGCACTGCAACCTTGAAGTTTAGTCTTAGCGCAAGTAGTTAAACTCTAAATTAAAAGAAAATATTTTTGGCGCAAGTAAATTAATTCATGGGTTAGTAATTTTCAGGGGGGGGGGAACTACGAAAATCCGTTTTTAAAATTATTGCGAAAAATCCAAGAAGAAACGTCCTTTGATAAAACGTTTCTTCTTGGATTTTTCGCAATAATTTAAAAACGGATTTTCGTAGCTTTCTTTTTGTCAAAGAACGTTTCTTCTTCACACGTTTCTCAATTTCCGGTACACATCGCGGAGAGGGAAATTCTGGCCGCCAGGTTCCGTCGCCAAATCCCTTGGCAAATTTTCCCTCCGCATTCTAGCGGCGTAATAGCATTTTACTTGTATGGAAAATTTTCTTCTTTACGTAGACCAAAGAATTAGAGATTCTTTGCATAGACATTTTTTGGTTAAAATAATCTCCATGTATGGATTTGGCGACATGATGATGCGCAGTAAACGGGTCATTTTGGTCTTGGCGACAATTTTCAAAATCGTGCCAAAGCCTTACCGTATACTAGAATTTTACCGCAAAATCTTTTTTAAACTTTTCTTTTTAATAAATACCTTGCCATTTTGCAGTAAAAATAAAAATAGTAATCTGTCATCTAGGCTAACCATGTAATATAACTATATTCGCTAAAATATCGTTGATTATTCTAATTCAATTTTTAAGTAATTATCTTTATTTTTATGTTATTCGTATAATTTAATGATGCTTCTTCCCTCTAAATTTACTAATTATTAGTAAATAATATTTCTAAATTTCAGGAAATTTTCTCTGGCATAATCTTGAAATTAATTCTAGCAGTATGATGACATACCATCACGAAATTTAATGCACATATTTTTTCTTATGTATGCTGCGAACTAAATATAAAATACCTCAATTTATTAAAATAGATTTCTCTGTTTTGTTTAGCTGCAGAATGTCTGCAAAAAAAGCCGTATTTTATTCCAGATTGGGAAGATTCTAATCTCAATCTTTAGTGGAGAAAACAAGAACTATTATAATTATATTTGTGTTTTCAAGTGTTAAGGTGCTTTTTAAGAACATACCTCACACAAATTAAATTTACCTAAAATCTACCTAACTATTTAGCATTGGGTTGTGATTTATAAGGACCGGATTAGCCTCGTGTTGAACTGGTGATGATCATGAGTAATAATTAAATAAAACATACATTTGTTATCCAATGTATATATCTTAAATTTTATTAAGTTTCTTAAGTGGAAAAGTAAACAAAATTATCAAACAAAGTATACCAAGAATAATTAAGAATAAATGTCCTCTGGGATTTATTGAATAATTAAGTGAATTTGCTACACAATACAAGTAATACCATAATTTACCTCTTAGCGTAGCCAACGTACATTACGCGGATAGACTGGAATTTTCTTGAAACGCACCTGGAAAACCTGGAAAAGTCAGGGAATTTTATTCTCCTGTTTGAGTGGCAACCCTGGTAAGATTTCCTACAAATTTTAGCCCACCAGCGGCCGAGCGGTAAAGTCGCTGAACACTGGTAGTTTGGTCCGAGGTTCGAATCCCGCGAACGGGCTGGCTGCATGGGCGTTTTCGTGGTTTTCCCCATGTGTAACGTATATACGAGCCAGTTTCCCTTAGAAAGTCCTCCACGAAGGCATCCCTTCCCTTAGGCAGATAGCCCACGAGGCTTTGCCGTAATCACACACACACTCCTACAAATTCTGTAACAGTGTGCCAGGTATTCCACCAAATACATTTATTAATATGTGAAAGCTTCTCATAGTAAGTTATTTCTTATAGGTTTTCATTTTAAAATATTTTATTTCATCAACATGAAATAAAATTATGGGAATTTTTTAAACATTTTTTTTTTCTTAATTTGCCTTAATTTTTTTACAGTTACATTTAGAGTATATGCAGAGATAAGAGAGGTAGCATGTTTTATTTAAACTCTTAAATTAAACTTAAAATAAGCTTTGCATTATATATTATCCTGGGAGACGGTTGTAAATTTTCTCTCTTCATATATTTTTCATGCACAGTTTTTTTTTTTTTTTCCTCTTTAATTCTTGCTATGTTTTTGTCGTGGCATTTTATTGAATGTTGTTAATTTTTTAAAATTCGAGTTCTTAATGATCTTGGTTTATTTTCTGATTTAAAATCCATTTAAATTTTTAAGATTTTAAGGATATACAATTTGAATAATAATGAATTTTTATGTAGTTTTCATTTCGGCGAGAAGCATGCGACATTCAAGCAACCAAAGCAAGAAATGATTACATATTGGCTCTTTTAGCTGCAAATGCTCATCAGACTAAATTTTACGAAAGTGATATTCCTGAATTAGTACAGGTTTGTTTATTAATCTTTTATTTATGAAATAATTTAATTTTTTTCGTCTCTTACTTATTCTAATATTTTCTCTTAAATTTCTAAACATCTTTATTTATCAGGCCTATTTATTACTAAAGCAATAAAAAAATGAGTAATAGTAATTTCATTTGATGTTCATTACTTGAAGTCAGCTCTGCTGTCCACAGCAATTTTAATTAGTTTGGTTTCATGTAAATAAGTACGTATTAGTTAAAAAAAAATAAATAAATAAAATAAAAAAAAAAAAAAAAAAAGGCTTGTTAAGAATTCTGTACTTTTGCATTTTTACTTTTTTTTAGGTTGTGTAAATACTTGTAAGAGTTTGGACTATATGTACTGGAGAATTGATTGTGGGATAATTATTTAGAAGTTATTTCCTGTTAAAGAACTGCACCTGCATTTTAATTTTGTTAAAATATTAATGCTAAATTAAAATATTAATGCTTAAAAATAAAATATTTTTAATGGAAGGAATTTTTTTCAGAATATTTATTGTCGGCCTGTTAGTTACATGTTAATAAGTGGTCATGGATATTTAGCCAATATGGAAATTTAGTTCACAGGAACATTTAGTCAATGTGGACATTTACCTGACATGAATGCAGCACATCTGACCAACAACACATTTATCCAACAGTATGTTTAAATGACATGTGACAATGTTTATTAACATTTATCCATATTTATAGGGCAAAAATCCGTTCCCAGGATATTTATTGAGAATGCTTATGGACAAGTACCAAATTTTTCTCTGATGTAATGCTATACAGAGTGTAGATTTTAAAATTAGATAGAAAAGAAATCTTAGGTTGGCATAGATTTTGCAATCAATTTCAAAAGCTATTAGACATAGTTCCTCGATTTCAAGATGGGGAAGAATATTTCAGCAGTGGAAAACAATTTTATATGAAAAGTAGTGGGTGAAGCAAAGTGAAAATGAATGAGGCATGATATATTGAGGAAAATAGTAATGAAATGTGGAAAAGCTAAGATATTAAGATATTGAAAGCATGTGGAATAGCATTTGAACATTAATGTCATTAACTGAAGAAGGAAAATTTTTATTAATGTGAAAGAGTTCAAAGAAATCCAGTTTACTAACTAAAGGAACTTCATGGATAATATTTGCAGATCCATAGTTCAGAATGATGATTAAGTGTCTAATTGTGATTAGCTGTCAAAAATTTGTTTATAATGACTTGTGTGGAAAAATCCCTCAAATGATTTATGTATCACCCTTAGAGGGCGCTTCGCTTCTGAGAAAGAATGTTAGTTTTTCAGTTTGCGACCTAGTTAGGTGTAAACCATTGATGAAGTCCATCTTGCTTTGTAAATAAAATGATTATTTTTGTAGATTGATGAAGTATTTAGCTTCATTTAGAATTAGATCAACCTTTCGCAACATGGTGCACCACAAATGGGAACCTTTGGCCAATTTAGATGTGTTTTTTAATTTTGGATAGCATTTTATGCGAAGACAGCCAAGGTAAGCCTGTATTTTCTATTTTGATATAACATGGAAGATCTTGTTGCTAAACTGAAATCAAACGAAAGGTATTGAGGACCGCAGTGTCCAAGATATTAAAGAAAATTGAAACCGAATTGAGTAAAGATGATAGTAGTATAAATGTAAATGTATTCGAAGACATTTTAGACCAGTTAAACAAAAAATCAAAATCCTTGAGCAATTTAGATGCTCAAATAGAACGAGAATTAAATGTCGAAACGTATGAATTTGAACTTAAAATCTCATCTGTTTTGGAATATGAAGAGAAAATTCAAGTGTGGCAGTTTAGAGGAAAGAAAAAGTTGAAAGAATTGAATAAGCTCGAAAATTCGGACAATGCAAGTATTGACATTTCTAATGAAACCATTACAGAATCCCAAAACGAAAGTAACAAATTCACTCGTCTTCCAAAATTAACCATATCTAAATTTTATGGTGATCCTTCGGATTGGTTAGAATTATGTATCTTATAAAATGGAACTTCCGACTGTTAGAAAAGAATCACTTTCTGTTTATTCTTTTGGACATAAAACTGCATTAGAAGAAACCTTTAATGTTGTTAGAGCAAAACTGGAAAATGTTAGTGATCCCAATCTTAATACATATATTGAGCTTCTTGAAACCGAAAATATATCCAATACTGTTATCTCCCTCCAGATTTAAACTTTGTAAAGAAAAATAAAATTTTACAAAATTTGCAATTAGCAGACTGTTGTAGAAAAAGTGACAAAATTGATATTCTCATAGGGGTAGATTTCTACTATTCTGTAACTTCTAATAAAATTTAAAGAATTTCAAGAAATGTAGCAGCCACTGAGTCTTTATTTGGGTGGTGTTTCCAGGGTAAAGTAAATAATGATCATAGTGAATTGTTAACTATGAAAATAATAGTAAATGAAAACTTGATATCAAATCAGTTACAACAGTTTTGGAAGCTAGAAAACTTAGGTTTGGAAAGTGATACTCAAAACGACAAAACTGTTGATTTAGAAATTATGAAATCTTTTGAATCTGATATCAAGTATAAGAATGGCAGATACCAAATAAAATTACCTTGGAAACCAAATTCAAAACATTTAAGGGAAGATAATAGGGATATAGCACTTGAAAGATTTAAGAAATTGAGTAACAAATTTAAAATTGATATTTCTTTATTGTTTAATACACAGAGGTTTTAAAGGATTACGAGTTAAAACATATTATTGAACCAGTTCAGGAAGACAATCAAAATGATAAAACCCTAATTTATTTACGTCATAGAGCAGTCATCAGAAATGATAGAGCAACAAGCAAACTAAGAATAGTTTATGATGCTTCAGCCCATAAACCCAAAACACTCTCTCTAAATGACTGTTTATATACTGCTCCGAACCTATATCCTGATATTTTTGATTTATTGATAAAATTAAGACAAAATTCGATAGCCTTTACAGCGGACATTACACAAGCATTCTTACAGATAGAGTTAAATGAAGAAGACAGGAACTTTACACGATTCTTTTGGAAAGATGATCCTGATGATAACAATGAAAGTTTGAAAATCTTTAGATTTACAAGTGTTTCGCTTGGAGTAAAATCTAGTTCCTTTCTCCTAGCTGCTACTATTAAGCATCACCTTAAAAATATTCAGAAATATATCCTGAAACAGTAGAACTCTTAAACAACTGCCTGTATGTTGATGACATTATGGGAGTTCAACAAAATTTAGAACAAGCCCTGAAAACACGTTTAGAAATTGTGAACATTTTTAATGAAGCTAGCATGTCACTACATAAGTAACGTACTAATTCCAAAGAACTCAAAGATATCTGGCATCGCAATGAATTTTCCATGCAAGAATCTCCTGAAGTTGTTCCAATCAAAGTGTTAGGAATTAACTGAGTTACGGATAATGTTAATTTTTATATTGACACTCAGCACTTGACAAATTTCATTTCTTCAAAACGTTTTCTATTGCAAACCACAGGCCGTATTTTTTTATCCTGTTGGATTTTATAGCCCTTTCACTATAAGAATAAAGTGTCTGATTCAGGAAATCTGGTCTGCCAAAATTGACTGGGACGATGAACTGCCACCTGATTTTAGTTATAAATGGAAGGTCCGGTACGAAAAAATTGAAGAACTGAACCACCTCAGAATTCCTCCCTACTATTTAGAAGGAATATTAGATGCAGATGTGAAACAAATAGAACTCCATAGCTTTTCTGATGCTAGTTTGGAAGCTTATGGATGTGTGGTATATCTAAGAATAATTTTGAATAATGGAACTTTTCAAATAGTTTTTGTTGCTTCCAAGAGTAGAGTTGCACCTCTGAAATCACTTACACTTCCTAGATTGGAGCTTTTGGGTGCATTTTTATCCGCTAGATTGAGTGATAAAATCGCAAAATGTTTAAAATATGAAGTAATCCTCTTCCACTGGACTGATTCTCAAATAACGTATTTTTTGATTCATGGATCTCCCGAAAGATTTAAATCTTTCATCAAAAACAGAGTTTATGAAATTCAGAAACTAACTGAAAGCAATAATTGACATTATTGCCATGGGAAAGATAACCCCTCCGACCTCATATCATGAGGAACTACTGTTGCTAATTTAAGAAATTGTTCACTTTGGTGGTTTGGACCAAAATGGTTACAAAACAAATGTATAGACTGGCCAGTTCAACCGAAGTTTGACGTGGGAAACGATAAACAACTAGAACGCCGTAGTAAGATATCTGTTTATGACATTGTTGTGAAAAGAGATGATCATCTATTGGATATAACAAAATTCAGTAATGTGCTGAAATATCTCAGAATTATGGCATGGATTAGACGTTTCGTTGCTAAAGCAAGAAAACTGCCTGCTAATAGTGGAACATTAAGTGCTTCGGAAATTCAGGACACTGAAATTTTTTGTGTTCGTAAAGCCCAGATGGATTTCTTCACACCTGAACTTAAGGCTCTTTAATCTAACAAGTCAATTTCTCCAAGCTCTAATATATTCAGCTTGGCACCATTTCTTGATGAAAATAAAATTATTCGAATTAAGGGAAGATTAGAAGAATTACCGAATATAATGTTGACGAGAAGCATCCAGTTCTTCTTCCTAAAGATTCCAAATTTACTGAATTAATTGTAAAAAGTTAACATAATAACGTTCTGCATGCGGGAGTTGCAGCCAAACTACGACAGAAATTTTGGATTCCTAAAGGCCGTCAGTTGGTAAGAAAGTCTTAGGGAACTGTTTAATTTGTCGAAAATACGCAGTAAAACCAGCGAAACAAATGACAGTTCAGTTACCTAAAGACCGAATTGTTGAAACTCCACCTTTCTATGTTACAGGCGTGGATTTCACAGGTCCAGTTTACATCAAGTCTGGAAATGACATTCAGAAATCATACATCGTATTGTTTACGTGCGCTGTTACATGAGCGTTACATCTAGAGCTCATTTCCAATATGTCTGCAAACAAATTCATTTTGGCTCTCAGACGTTTCATTTCGAGAAGAGGAAACTGTCGCACCTTTTATTCAGACAACACAAAAACTTTCAAATATGCTGCCAATATTTACAGTATTTTTACAGCATAATTAACCCTTTCAGGATGGGCGTCCCATATATGCATTCCCTAAGAACGTCTCTTACAGCCGGGCGTCCTATCCACGCATCAGTAAAGATCACATTCAGAGGACGGGTGATGCGTATATGCATTTTAAGGTGGAACGTTTTTCTGAAGGCCACTAGATGGCATTTTGTGTCCATTACTTTTGAAATGAACATAGTTTTAGGTTCCTGACCTTGAGTTTGATATATTCTACTTAAGTTTGGTATTTTACTCATCAGCTGTTCGAGGGTGGGGTGGGGGGCGGAGGGAAAGCGTAAACAGAGGTGGGCTCTTTAAATCGCTGCGTGCTAATGAAAACATTCTCGTATCTGATTTATATCCAATTCCTTTTTTTATTCTATTTTTTTCCTCTACTATGTACGGTCTTTTAGGGTTACTGTACGGAGTTTTTTTACGTTTTGCATTGCCTTCAGATATATTTCCGTTCCTTCTTTTTTTTTATTTAAGAAAGCCTCACCTCCAGTCTATTATGGCAGGAAGGCGCTATTTATCAAAGTAAGAATACCCTAGTATGGTTAGTGAACCATTTACTAATGCAAATGAGAGTACTGATTCATTTTCTAAAGAGTTAAAAAGTGATACTTTTTCTGAGAGTTAAAAAGTGGTACTTCTCTGTGCTTCCAGATTTACCACGCTTGTTTTCATTTTAAATTTTGTTACTTCTTACTGTAAATAGTCTTTATCGTGTTCTTTTTAATAATTTCAAACTTTATTGATGGATTTTATCAATTAAAACTGTGGAATAATTTGAATAGCGCTTCCGAAAATTATTTTAGAAGATAAGCAATTTTTTAAGTATATTTTCATGTAAAATAATGAAAAAACTGTTTTAAGGGCTAATTTTAACATATATAAGAGCTCAAGTAATAATCTAAAATGAGACCAAAAATTACGATGCTAGAAGCGAAACTTTTGTTTTTCTGATTTTTGTTATAATATTAGGCTTAGCGATGCAAAACCTCCGTCCTGTACGGTGACTGCCTTCGATTCTCTTCCGTCCTGCATGAGTGTCTTAAACAAAGGTGCGCCGTTGCGAAAAAGTTAAACGTACAGACTTTCAAAATTTTCTAGCAAATGAAGGCTTGACTTGGAAATTTATCGTCGAGCTTGCTCCATGGTGGGGAGCTTTTTATGAACACCTAATACAAACCATAAAGGAACCGTTGAAAAAAATATTAGGCAGAGATCAACTGAATTTTGAAGAATTTATGACTGTGTTGACAGAGGTCGAAAATATTGTGAATGGACGTCCTTTGACCTACGTTTACAACGATTTACATGAACCTGAACCGCTTGCACCAGTTGATTTTCTATTGATCGGACATAAGGATGAATATCCATACAACTTTGCTGAGATCCTGATTAGTTCTCCAACAAGAAAGAGTCTAATAAAACGAAAAGAATATCAGACAACACTTATAAAACAGTTCTGAAAAAATGGAAAAATCAGTATCTTCTTGAGTTAAGAAATGCTCACTTCTTCGGTACACCAAAAGCCAAGAAAAAATCTTAAAATTGGTGATATAGTTTTACTTGAAGGAACAACTAAATCTAAGTTTCTCTGGGATTTAGGTCGAGTAATTCAAGTCTTTAAAGGACGTGATGGTCTTGTATGATCAGGTGTGGTAAAAACTGAAAAAGGGGACTTAAGAGACCTGTGCAATTTATATACCCCCTTGAACTATCAGACTGAAAATGAACTAATTTTGTAATCTTTCAATTTTATTTCTTATATTTCATGTTCACTAACATTAATTTTAGATAATTAGTTTAGTTATATTACTAATAATTACTGTTTGTAATTCGAATTAATATTTACGTATTGAGTAACTTTTGAATTGATGCAGTTAACTATATTTGTTTATTTTATAGAAGTTCCTTTTTGCAGTTTATATTTACATCAGTTGAATGTACTTGATATGTAAGTTGCTTTCTTATATTTTTATTATATGTGTGCTGAAATAGCAAAAATTATCAGGTGGGGAGTGTGGAAAAATCCCCCAAATGATTTATGTATCGCTATTAGAGGGTGCTTCGCTTCTGAGAAAGAATGTTAGTTTTTCAGTTTGTGACATAGTTAGGAGTGAACCATCGATGCAATCCAGGTTGCTTTGTAAATAAAATGATTATTTTTGTAGATTGATGAAATATTTAGCTTCATTTAGAATTAGATGAACTTTTCGCAACAACTTGAAATTGTTATGGAGAATCTGAGCAATTTTATGTTTAATAGAATGATTAATTAGTTGTCAGATCAATATGGGAAAATTCTGCTTCCCATCTTTTGGTATAAATATTTGCATTATCAACTAAACATGCTGTCTGCTAAATGTGTTGTCATCTAAATGTCCTGGTGGTTGAATATCCTGTCAGGTAAATGTCCTGTCTGTTAAATGTTCTGTTGGTTCAGTGTCCATGCAGGTTGAATGTCTTGTCGGCTGAATGCTGTGTTGGCTAAATGCTGTGTCAACAGCTGTTGGCTAAGTGTCATGAGTGTAATGTGTATAAATTATGCACATAATTTTCAAAACATTATTGAAAGTGTGTAATGAAATATAACTGTATGTTTGATTTAGGCAAATTATAAATTATTTAAAATTTTAAGTATTAAATTTATATCTTGTGAATGTTTTATATTAGCTGGTTTTTATATTTCATGAAAGAAAAAAGAAATAAGAATAATATTTCTTTTAATTTAGTACATTGATTGTGACATTTATGATAAAGTACAGGAATACATATTACTCATTGCTCGTACTGAGTTGTTGACATGTGCTGCTTGCCAGTCATCCTTCAGTATAGTACAGGAACAGGCTAATATGGTAAATCTTTTTACTTATCTTTCTAATTTAAAAAAACTATGTTTGTTTATAATTTTTCTTTTAATTATATTGCCCCCTTTTTTTAAATTATTAAATAACATCAATTTAAATACTTGTTTTATTCTAGCTTGCATTGAAATGTTTTTGATGAATAACTTTTATAGATGTAAAAGAATTTCATAATGTATTTAATGGCTGTAAGGCATTTGAAAAGTTTTCTATATTATAACAGTTTGTAGCGGTCCTTATAAGTGCTTATAAGTCCTTATATTTGAAAATAAAATATAAAGGTCCTTATAGGTGCTTACTTTTTCTTTAAAGCCCTTATTTTTTTGTTTTTAGTGCTTATTTTTTTTTTGCTCTTAGTGCTTTTTTTTTTTTTTTTTTTTTTTTTAATGAATGTGCTATTTTCTCCCAAAGCAGAGACTAAATAAACAACTTTTATTCCTAATATGGAATGTCAGATGGTGAATCATACTCCCGGAAATAGCTTTTCCCCCTTTCTCTGCATTAACATAACCTTTGGTGTGCACAAAGAGTACAGACAGGTGCCCGTCGTTCTATTGGTCAAAGAACTGCGAAAGCAGTAGAAAATTCCGGTACATTCGGCATTCTTTTCCTCCCACCCAAATACTACACACGTTTGAATTTCTATCAAGATCTTAAAAATTTGCATTCTCGTTCTGCTTGGTCAGTTCATATTCGTGTTTATTATGATCGTTATGCTTATATTATGAGTATATGTATGAATGTTTATAATAACATAGTTGCAGTAACTGCTGAAGTATAGTAAACTTCCAAAAATGGTTGTGTTTTAACACAGATTAGCTTTCTAAGGAATAATATTCGAAATGGCTTAAATAAAGGGAAAGTAATCGAATAGTCAAAATAATTTCATTTTTTTGGCATTATACAGTACGAATTATACATTATACAGTACGAAGGTTGGGAGGTCCCCCTTTCTCCGCAAAATGTTGAATATTGAAACTGTAACAGTTCGCTGCAAAACAAGCAACAGACTTTTTTTTTTTGTGTGTGTCACTTTCCAATCTGGAATGAATAGGACTAAAAGTTCTGCGGTCTACCAAACAAGTGAAGAATGATTCTGTTCCGGAAATTTAACGCCGTCTTTTGAAAATTATAATGAAAAACACCCCAGTTATTTAGTTCTTTATTCTCCCAATACCGGCAGTTGTTGATTCCGATTGCGTAATATCACGTAGAGAAGAATTACGGTGCAGGTATTGCACAATAACGTTTTTGATAATTAATTTTGATGTTCAGTCTGAGATTTGTTTATGAACACTTAAAAGAGTTTTACTATGCTTGCTAAGCAGAATATTTTTTAGTTCCGTTGGTTTATTTTTATATGATGCACGTATTGAAATGTCAAAAGCATTTATTTAGCGGAAAAATCTGAAGAGCGGCTACAGTCTACCTCCCCCCGGTCCGCCCCTTCAAGTTACGCTCGACTGTCCGAATATTCGCCAATTTCCAAGTATGCTGGTTAGTTAAGCTTTTACTGATGGCTGTATGATAAAAAATTAAAGATGGCTGTATGAAGCAAATTTCTGTCTTCTGCCTCTTTTTTCTTAAATTACTTTTTTACTTAAATCACTTCTATGCTTGCAATATCTGTTAAGAGAAAACTGATATATAATGAAAATTTAGAAAATGTTCAGAATTTAGATTTAAATTATTTAAATATCAATATGAGTGGAAAAATAAATTGTATTTATTATTAGGTTCCAAGCGAATACAATAAATATGCCTTATTATTATTTATTTTCTCTATTTTGAACTGAAATTTCATCATTAAATCTTGTAATATAGTTTAGTTCTTCATAGTTTTTTTTTTTTCTCTCATTGTAAACTAGTTCTGTAAATTGAACTGTTATTTAAATTAAAAATAAACAAAAAAAAAAGTAATTATTTTCCATGGTTGAGGTAATGCTTATTCTCTCTTAATAAGTACTTCATTTCTCATATTTTAAATTACAAGTCTAATTTTTAAGGTTATGCAGTTGTGTATGATGTAATTAGACAGGTGCTTATTTTTTTTCTTAAAATGTGCTTGAAAAGTGTTTATAGGTGCTTATTTTTTTAACTAAAATGTAGCTATGAACCCTGTATAAATATTTCCTGTAACAAACAGAAAATATTTCTTTCCAGGCTTCAAAACAGTTCACAATGGAATATTTCTTTCGAGATAATCCTGTTTTGTCAACACCTATATTATATGAATTTGAACCTTGTGACAATGATAAAGTGAGTATCATCAGTTGGTATACTGTTGCTGATTGTAACGCTTTAAAACTGTATGCGGCTCTTTTAAATGTATTCTTTTAGTGCATGAGAAAAATCTTGAGTGTATGTTTTCTTATTTGAGTACCTCCTACGATAACAAATTTATGTGCATAGTCAAAATAACTGGAAAAAAAAAAAAAAAAAAAGCTGTGATAAGTATTTGTATAGTTTTCAGCTTCTACTTCTTCTCTTTTTTTCTCTTTATTTTAAATAACTTTACAGTATTTCTGTCAGCTGCAGTTGTGATGTTTAAATTCCTGAGATATGTAGATGGAAAGAAAAAAGAATAATATATATATATATTTGAAAAATTTCCACCCATTGGGATTCCTTGTATTTGTTTAAAGATACAATTGATAAAGAGAATGTAATTATTGAAAAGCATGCTCCTAAGAAAAAGTTGCCATTTTTCGTTATCAATTATTGTAGAAATCTGAGGAATAATATCTGGTAGAGCAAGTAAGTTGGTATAAATTTCTTCAAGCGGTAAGGTAGTATAAAGGTTTTCGAAATCGTAGCATTGTATATGGTCGATTTTAATTGAATTAATTGTCTTAATTACGAGTTCGTTACTTGAAATCATCCAGTTGCAATGCAGATCTTGAAAATCATAGTTATTAATCAAGTCACGTATTAAACGAAGTTTTTGCAAAAAGATAATCTATTTCTTTAAGATAACTTTTGGTACTATTGGCAATGAACCTGAATTTAATAGGTGACTTATGAAATTTTGGAAGGGCATAGAGATTTGCGAATCTGTTATTATATTTCCGTGGATGTATCTTAAGTCTTTTATGTAGTGCGTTAAATTTATTGATAAGAATTTTGGTGTTGGTGGTAATTTTTTGGTAAGTGCCATTACTATTTAGTTCTTTGTGCAGAAGGTCGAAATAAAACTTTTTTCAGAGAACACTAAAATTGTTGCTAGCTTTGTCAATTTTTGTAATGATAAAATTATCTTGCAGTTTGTTGATTAGATCAAAGAGTCGTTTCTTATTGTGTAGAGAGTTGAAAGAAGGTGCCTTGAAGAGTAAATGTTGAAATTCTGTAATCAGTGCAGCTTTCCATTCAAGAAAAGTAGTAGTAGGTAAATTGGATTTATTACTAACTAACATGATAAATTTATCAAGATCTTGATTGAATTGTCTGAGGCAAAAGATGTTTATTGATACTAAAAGTAGGACGAAATTTGGTGCCAAGTTGTAAAAGGTCTCGTAATTCTAAGTCTTCAATGATGTTAAGATCTCCTGTTATAACATGTTGGTGGAAAGGATCGACATATTTTTGGTAAAGAGGCCTAGTTGGCAATGACACATGCAATTTTCTTGAATCTCGTGGTTGTTGATAACTAGTTGACCTAAGTTCTTTTCAAATTTAAAGCAGGGCTTAATTTGGAGTTGTTGTTCAGGAAGCAAGTGTTGATATTTTTTGAAAATGTTAGGTATTTTTAGTTGATCGTAAGAAGGGTGTTTGAATTGTACCGTACAAAACAGTTTTTTGTGAAAAAAATTGCTATTTTTTAGCTTAAAATTGCAGAAGTCTATAATTAAGTCTTTTATGATTTGTAAACAGCTAAAATTTTCATTTACGACTTTAATTAGATTCCACAAGGTAACATTCTTAAATGTATGTAGAAGTTTTATGGCATTCTTAGCAAATTCATTATGTTCAAGGAAGGAATGAAGATTTTTAATTATTAAATTCAGATCTTGATTAGAAAAAAATTTTTTGTGTTTGGAATCACCTCCTCTGGTACCTCTGGTCGTTATACTGCTATGTTCATATATTGAGACTTCTGTCTGTCTGTTGGTGGTATGACTCAGATAAGCATTCAGTCCGTAAGGGTAAAGTGACTTTTTTTAAAGTATGTATAAGGATTCCATAAAAAGTCTAAGTTTGGTGTTCGGTACAATATCAAGCACAGTAATTTCTATGTTATCAAAATTATGCATATTATAATGCTCGAGAATAGCTGTATGCTGATTATTCTTTGTGAGATTATTGCTATTATTTTTAAATTTTTTAATATGAGATCTATGGTTATTAATTCTGAGGTTGAGAGGGTTTTTTTGTCTGACCTATATATGTGAGAGAACATTCTTTACAGGTGATTTGGTAGATACAATTGAAAGTCTTTCATAGTGATTGTGTCGTATTAGTATTGGTGGGAAGTGGAGTAGCATTAGCCTTACAAGTTTTACAAAGCTTGTTGCTTCATTGAATTATGATTGATCAGAGCCTGTAAATGAAAGTAAAGAGGGAGCTAGCCTGCTTTACAGTGTTTTTTGGAAGAAAGACTAACCTATCGTGAAAGTGGAACTGTAAACAGTATCCGGTAACTTAAAAGCTGAAGCTTGAAAAGTGAAATTGAAATACACCTAAACAATCAAACTTATTAAACTTTCAGCGCTCGAGGCTGCTAAAAAGAATATTAATTGAAAAAGAAAATGTAAAGCGAACTGGTAATTAGACGAAAGACCTATCTGGTGTCAAAAGCTTTTGCGCATAATGCTGCAAAAAGATTTGAAAGAATAGTAGTAGGTAGGAACATTGCAGCAACCTTGCTAAAAAGTTACCAGGAGCTGTGGCTCCACGAAATGTTGTAACATAGTACTACATAAACAATAAGAACAGTTTTTTTCCCTTGAAAAGCCAACTGAGAGTACGAGTGGGCTAATATACCATTTTTCCGCTATTTAATTATTGTTTTTGTAGCTAGTTTTTGATGCTTTTTGTGTCTTTATTATATTTTTTAATTTTGATTTTACGTTTTATGTATTGGCATATTATATATTGGCAATTTTAATTTTAATTTTTTATGTATAGGCATTTTTATATATTGACATTTATAATCTATGTTTTTTGTAACTTCCTAATATTGGGTTGTTCGGAAAGTAATTTCGTTTTTTCCTGTCAGACGACTTAATTACATTTTTTCGAAACCAACTTCACACTTAAGCCGCATAACCATTATATGTCTTGAGAGCTGATATTACAAGGCTTGTGTGTGAAAAAGTTCTATTAATTCTACGCAGTAGTTTGGTTGGTGCCTTTTTAAATATGGAGACAATAAGCAGCATTTTCGTCATATTTTACTTTTTTACTTCAGAAAAGGTAAAAATGCTGTCCAAGCGAGAAAAAAATTGACGGATGTGTATGGAGAAGGTGTGTTAACAGTACGCCAGTGCCAGAACTGGTTTGCAAAGTTTCGATCTAGCAATTTTGATGTCGAAGATGCACCACGGTCTGGAAGGCCGGTTGAAGCTGACAAAGATGCGATAAAGGCATTAATTCATGCAAATCGGCGAATAACCACACGAGAGATCGGTGAGAGGTTAAATTTGTCGAATTCGACTGTTTATGGCCACTTGAAAGGCCTGGGCTTAACCTCGAAGCTCGATGTGTGGGTGCCCCATGTTCTTACGGAGCGAAATTTGTGTCGTCGCATTGACGTGTGTGATTCGCTCCTCAAACGTCAGGAAAATGATCCATTTTTGAAGCGGATTTTTACTGGGGACGAAAAATGGGTCATATACAACAATGTGAAACGCAAGAGGTCATGGAGCAGAAAAAATGAACCGGCTCAAAGCGTTTCAAAAGCCAACATTCACCAAAAAAAGGTGATGCTGTCCGTTTGGTGGGATTTCAAAGGAATCTTTTTTTTTTTTTTTTTGAGCTTTTACCAGACAATACAACTATTAATTCAGAAGTCTATTGTCATCAGCTGGACAAATTGAATGATGCACTTAAACAGAAGAGGCCAGAATTAACCAACAGGAAGGGTGTAGTGTTCCACCAGGATAATGCGAGACCTCATACAAGTTTGGTCACTCACCAAAAGCTTTTACAGTTTGAATGGGACATACTGCAACACCCACTATATTCTCCAGATCTGGCACCTTCCGATTATTATTTGTTCCGGTCCCTGCAAAATTTTTTGGATGGTAAAACCTTTACCTCAAATGAAGATGTTAAAAACCACCTGAATCAGTTTTTTGCCAGCAAGGACCAAAACTTTTATGAGTGGGGAATCATGTTACTGCCAGAAAGATGGCAAAAGGTGTTGGACCAGAATGGCCAATATAATAATTTAATAAATATTTATTTCATTATACGAAAATTGTCTTTCATGTTCCCCCCAAAAAAATGAAATTACTTTCCGAACAACCCAATATATATATATATATTATTTTTTCCGTCCATCTTTTTTTTCATGTGAGTTAACTTTTCACATTACACAACGGTCAGATTAATTACTTTTTTTCGTGCAATAGCAAGTCTTCCAGCATTAAAATTTGGCAATTTTATCGCGCTTATACAGTTTTTCCAGTTTTACCAGGCAATTTCTTATTTCTTATTGTGTATGTAGTACTATGTTACAACATTTCGTGGAGCCACAGCTCCTGGTAACTTTTGAGCAAGGTTGCTGCAATGTTCCTACCTACTGCTATTCTTTTATGCGCAAAAGTTTTTGAGACCAGATAGGTCTTTCGTCTAATTACCAGTTCGCTTTACATTTTCTTTTTCAATTATATATATATATATATATGTAAGCTAAAACAAAATACAATGCTTGCATTAAGAAATAATTAGTAACCTCAAAATTAACTATTCTAGACTTAATGCTCTTTTCCTAAAGTCATCTGTTCACCCAAGTTCGAGATCTTTCTATGTTACATAACAACCTAAAATTAACCAATCACAGCTCAGTACTTTCTGCATCTGTTATATATAAATACTCTTTGAAAAACAGCTATGCCATTTCTTTCCTTAGCTTCTACTGTGCTAACATCCTCGCGCTGCTTTTGGATAAGTTCCTTGTCTACAAAAATGATCTGATGTGAATTATAATAGAACAAAATTATGATTCGAAATGGCTACATCTGGAAGTATGTGATTTTTGTATCCATCTATCTAACTACGTAGACTTCAAACTGCAGTGCATCAAAATATCCATCCATGGCCATGATGACTGCAAGCTGCAGTGCATCAAAATATCCATCCTTGGCCATGACGACTGCAAGCTGTTAAAGTGTCGGATTCCTTCTATGCACTTAAAATACTAAACACACATATATATATAGCATTTATCTGTTACCATGTGAAATCTTGTCTTGCATCTTATCATTAACTAAAATGATATAAAAAATCTTTACTCAAGTTGTTGTATATTGCATAAATATATAAAATCTCAACATTTTAAAAAGTTATAATGAAATTGTTTGAAGTATTTAAAAATGGTACATTTAAAGTGTTTCCTTTAGAAATTTGCAAAACATAGCACAATTGTTTTAATAATTTTAAAGAAATGTCTTGTTTTGTCTTGTTTTAATAATTTAAAGAAATGTCTTGTCCTGTTTATGCTGAAATATAATGGAAACAGGGAGGAGTTTATTTAAAAATTTCTCATGATTGCTGTTTATTATGTCAGCATAAAAGATAGGATGGATCTAAGTTAATCCATTAAATTGATGCAGAGTACTTTCCAAGGGAAATCTGACAAACATTTCACTGTGATAAAGTACCTGTGTCTCTCTCATTTTCAAGAACAAACAGTATTCAGCTAACAGTAGAAATTGATCAGTTTGTCTTGTGAAATGTATTGAGCATGGAACAGAAATTCATATTTGTGAGGTGGAATTTTTTGTAATACTAAAAATTTATTAATTCAATTTTCCTTTGCTTCTATTCTAATAAGTTATTCTATATGCATAAATATTTATTTAATCTGCATTTGAAATATATGGATAAAAAATTGAGCTGAACAACAGTGTGTAGTTAAATGTTTAAAGTTGCCTTTACATACAACATAAGATTTGACTATACTTAAAATTTTATTTTCTGATACAAGTTTTAAAGTTAAAAGACTTGTGTTAGCCAAAGAACAAATACTTATTTATTTTGTACCATTTTAGTGCCATTATATGGCTTACCTGTGTTTAAGGGAGTTCTGAAATGCTGGGTGTTCATTGAGAGTTTGATTCAGGCGATTTAATTCCATGGTTGTTTGTTCTTGTGGTTTTCTCATACATTGCGAGGGGAGAATACAAATCAGTTTTCATAGATTTTCTAGGTAGGAATTTCTTCTCTTAGGCTTATAGTCTTCCATTACTTTTTCCTACATTAAAAGCTATTTCAGAGGAGAAAAGCAGAACCCATCCAAAAAGTTTTATAAATTTACAACAGAATGACTGCTGAAGAAATATATGGTTTATTTGTTTTCTTTTTTAGCAGTGTCATTGATTATATATCATTTTCAGATATCCATTACACTCATCACTATGATAGATGAAAATAAAAAGAATACTGTTGGTGAGGCTAAATAATACAAGTAACTGTTGCATTAACATCATGGGTTGCCATGACAGCCCCGGATGCACCATGGTATTTCGTTAAAATCCTCTTCTACTATATTTCCATATGACATATGACAGTTTAATAATGTTGATGTCACTATGACAACAGTTCAACCATCAAAGCCGGAGCTTTCTGACTTATTTTTCCATGGTTTATAGTTACAAGTTCTAAATATTAAGAAAAAGAATTTCTTGGGCAAATGTGACCAGCAAACTTCATGTGGTTAATTTCAATGTACTTAATATAATTTATGTAATTCATTATTATACTTATGTTGCTATAAGCCATCAATGTTTGTAGCACCAAAGTGTTTTCTGCAAACTTCCTTTCAAAAATAGCTAGTAGTGTCTCTTGTATGACACTTAATCAGTTAGACTAAAAGTAGTCTCATTTTTAAAATATTTGCAATTAAATTATTGAATTTCACGAATTAAAGAATTGTATGAAAACAATTATTAATCTAGGTATGCAGGCATAAGATAACAAATAATGTTCAGTATTCTTTTAAACAGAGGTAAATACTTGAAATGTTGTATTTGTGTTACTGAATCATTGGTGTCTTGTGCTGTCTTATATTTATTTCATTAAAAAAGTTTAAAAAAAAAAAAAAAACTTTTTGTGATTTTTCAGAAATTAGTGCACATAACCATAAAATTCATGTTTACTTTACTTGTATGTATTTATATGATAATTTATTTTTCCAGTTCTGAAGAAATATATTATTACAATAAATGTATGTGTCCAACAAATGGCTCAATATGCTATATGGGAGAAATTATCTAAATGATATTTCATATTCTCATGCTTTTGTAATATGATTTTTCAGATAAACAAATTGTCTATTGAGCATAATGCTGCATTGTGTTTAAGTAAAGAAGCAAGACGTTGGGTTAGTTGTGTTGCTAAAGAAGTCAGAGTTATAAGAGACAGTCAAGAAGAGCTAAAGAAACTGCTTGCTCAAATTGGAGATAAAGTATTCATTTTAATTATTTTGCTGTAATTAGCATAATTTTATTTTTATCAGTCTACTGTTGATTTCTTTACATTCTGTTTATTCATCATGCACATCATTTCCTGTTACCAGGTAACCAAGAAAGTTTTGACCCATTTTATTCTTTGAAATAATCATCAGTGTTTTCAAATACATGTTTCTAATGAGACACAAACTTATAGATGCCCTTTTTGGAAACTCCCCTTTTTTTTTCTTGAGTTCAAAAATTGTGATACAGCCTTTGTGATGTCATTGTGGTTTAGGAACTGCTATTCTCACAAGATGGTTATACATAGCCCAAAATAGGTAACAGTGCGATCAGTGGCGTAGCTAGGGTGGGGCAAGAGGGGACATCTGTCCCCAGGTACAGCATTCAGGGGGCGCCAAATTGATGTTATGAAATTTTAGAATGAAATGTTTTCCATTCTTGGCACACAGAAAGGGGCACAAAATCTTCAGTTGTCCCCGGGGGCTGAAAACCCTAGCTACGCCTCTGAGTGCAATGGAGCAATGTCTGGTGAATAGGGTGGCTGAGACAGAACTTTCCAACCCGTGTTTTGATCATAGAGCTGTAATGTACTAGAGAGAGAAACGACAACCCTGAAGGGGAACAGGAATATGAACCACATGACATTTGGAACATTTCCCAGATCGTATTTCCTGCGAATCTTCCTTACCATTACAGTTCTATGGAGAATTTGTGAGAAGCAAGTGTTTTGTGTGTACACGCGTTGTTTCGGACTTAAAAAATGGTACTTTCGTGCTCCGCATATGGATTTAATTCCAGATACGTGAAAGGGGAGAGTAACATTTCACAGCTGAGCTTTTTCTAATGTTTTAAAACCTAATTTTATAAAATGTAGAGGTTTTTTTATCCTTTTCTACTTGCCGTTTTTCTAATAAAAAATAGATTTTCTAATTTATATAATATATGCATACTGAAATAACATTTAAATAAAAGTATCTTTATATATATGTATGTTTCTAATAACTGTGTTCTGAAAAAAAAAAAAAAAATGTTAAAATTTTAGTAATATGATATAATTTTAATGAGTCTAGTATTCTGCTTTGGCGACATCTTTTATACGCCAACAGACTTTGCTTTGAATGCGTTTGTTTATATATTCTTTGTATGCGTTTGCTTATGCGGACATGTGCGAAGTAGTAATGTATGTATTTAATATTTGGTAATGATGATGTAGCGCTGTGTAAGAACTGCATAAAATTATGTTTTTTTCTTTGGAGGGGACATGAATGACTTTATTTTATCCCCTTTTCTTGTATCCAAATATAACAAATATGCTTTCTGGGCTTCACTTGTAGCTTTATTGCCTCTGATTTTTTAGTGTCTATGTAATGTATCAATTATTTATTATTATTAATTAATTATTTTTATACATTTACTGTGTTATAAAGAAAGTTATATCTAATTATGATTAGATGCCATTAGATGTTATTTATTGGAAAGTGCAAGTTTTTTTTTAGTCATATTCAGTATAATTATGCATTGTGATTGAAATAAAATTCCTTGAACTTATAGTTATCTTGGAGTTAATTACAATAAACAGTTTTACTTGTATAAAATTATATTTTACGATACTAAATTCGTCAAGAATCGTTCTTCATTTGAATCTATCACTGAAATTTTGTATTTTTAATTTCTTCTTATTATTAATTTAGTTTGTTCTCTCCAGTTTTTATTTTATTTTATTTTAAATTTTGTAAACGCCGATGGACATATTACAAAATGTTATTCTGCAGCATGAAAATTATCCTGTTAAATTTTAAAATAAAGTGTCCAATTTTAGAGAAATTATTAATTTTAGCTGGTGTTTATTGATTTAACCTCTTCTGCAAATTCAACGGCAGCTTCTGTGAAATGACATCTTTCCAAGTTCGCATTTCGAACTGAGAGAAAAGAGAGGAAAAAATCGCCAGCCATGGTGATAGTACGCCAAAGTCTGGGTTCAGTTCCATTTCATGCCCAAACTCCTGCAGCTCATTCCTGTGCCGTTTTTTCACCCGGTTTTGAATGGCGAGGCTCCGTCTAGTATATAACAGGTCTATGGTTTTGATCACCTCTTTGGTCACTTTTTCTGTATGTGGTCTGGCATTACAATGCAAGAGGAGAACTTCTCTTCTGTTGACCAGTGCTGAAACTCTTTGCACTGTTTGCAATGCAGCTGAAACTCTTTGCATTTGTGACGAGTAGGCCTCAACTGTTATGATTTTTCCATTTTTTAGATGTTCATAATGTAGTATGCCAGCCTTCGTCCAGCAAACACATCATTACCTTCTTTTCGTGAATATCCGGTTTCATCAGAATCAATTTGACCACTCGGATATGCCAAAAGTAATTGCTATCAAAAACTGCACTAACTTTTTCTTGGTTTCCTGGTAATATTTGCACTTTAAATACAATATCTCAGATAACATTTCTTAAAGATTAAAATATTTATAGAAATAAACTTGATAATATGGTCAGTATCATTGTAGATCTTTGATCAGTTTATGTATATTTCTATAAAGCTTTTATTCTTATTTGTTTCGTATTTAAAAAAATGTTTTCAGTTTAGCATTTAATATGAATAGATAGAATCTAGAAACATATTTTATATGTAAAAGGCTTTGTTTATTAAGTGCAGTTAGAAGCTTCACAGTTTGAACATTATAAGCAGTATCTAGATGACATTATGGTGAACTTTTTGTTTTGGCCTTGTTAGTCATCATGACCAGTAATATAAAATGTAAGAAATAATGCCTTAATATTATAAACTTAAACTGCTGAATATTTAAAAATTTAAATAAGAAAATGAAAGAAAACTATAATTAAAATTAATAACTGTACTGTAGAACAAGGTGTGCAAGAAAATACAGCTTGTTTCTTTTATCTCTACACGTAATAGTTTTCAGCAATTTGATATTTGTAGGTTTTTAAGTAGAAATTAAAATTGTTAGCTGTCCAATCCCCCAAATCATTATTTTGCCTTGATTTGTTGGTATTGTGTGTTAGAAATCAAAAGACAAGTACAAGGGTGGATTGGGAAAAAAAAAAAAAAAAAAAAAGGCTATATTTGTAATCAATTATTTATTAATAATAGACAGATAATAACAAAAGGAAATTAAGAGGCATACTTGCCTATCATTTTTTCACATAATCACTAATTTTATTTAAGTTTTCATCCAAATGTAGAACAACTTATTTAACCTGTCGTGGAAGACAGATTAAATTGCACACTGAGCCAGCTCTCATTGGCTGTTTTCACATCACTATCTGAAGAGAACTTCATAATGTTAAATGTTCCAATTAAATGTTTCTTCAATTTTGGAAAAAGGAAATGGTCTTTGGGTGCTAAATCTGGGCTATATGGGAGGTGACTTCAGACTTCCTAGTTTGAGTTTGGCAAGCTGTATGGTGTCAGGTGTTGTCATTCACCATCACTCAACATGCCAAGACACTTGCATCAGATGGCTTCATGTAACTTGTCAGAGTGGCTCAGTAATGGTATGGCCGAGATCCAGATACTCGATCAGGGTAATGAATCATGGCTTGCACCTCCAAGCAAAACCACTTTTCTAAACACCTTGCCAATCAATCTGGCACATTTGTGAGCTTACTCTACCTATCTCCATAACTGCTGCTAGAGAACTAGTGCCATCTGTTTACACTATGGGAAAAAAGTATTTCCTTCACAGTAATTACTTTTCAAATGTTGATCCTTGTAACCTTTTTTCTGAATCCACCTATGTATTTTTTAGTGCTAGATATTAAATGTTTGGCCTAGTTTCTATGCAAAATATATCCTTTTATAGGGAATAATAGTTCAAACTATTAATTTTTTTTTTAAAATCTAGCAGTACTTCTTCTGTTACATTTACCTGACTACTTTCAAATAATCATTGAGGAAACATATATCACTTCAGCTGTACATCAAGAGAAAAATTCTGGCCTGTGTTCATATAATTCTAAGTTAAAAAAAGAAAAATCATGTTTTGTAAAAATAAATGCTACTTTTAAAACAGCATTTAAAATTGCAAGGAAGGTTATATCAGACAGCTTGTTTCAATATATCACAAAAGCAAGTTTTAAGATAATAAACCTACTAAAGAATTTTTTCTTGTGCATTATTTTTAATATCTGTAATATTCCAAAAGTTTGAAATTTTGTATCAAGGCACGAAGTTCTATTTCATTACTTGACTCATTGTATCATTAATATATGATTTGCATTTGAATTCATATATGTTTTGTATTATTATTTAGCCACCTTATGCTCTTCAAAGTGATCAGATTGGTCCGCAGGCTGAATTAGAAGCTAGAATTGATGAATTGAGACAGATTATTCGAAGAGCTCAGGTTAGCTTTTTTGTATTTCCTTTGAAGTCCAACAAAAATTTCATGTGTGGAAATGCTGTAAAAATTATTAATTGGAATTTGAAGTAATTAGCTGAAAATTTTCAACAATTAGCATTTTTTTAAATGATTGATTTATTAGATTACGGCAAAGCATTCGAGGGCTATCTGCCTTAAGGGAGGGATGCCTTCGTGGATGACTTTTTAAGGGAAACTGCCTCGTATACATGTTACACATGGGGAAAACCACGAAATGCAGCCAGCCTGTTCGCGGGATTCGAATCAGACCGAACTACCAGTGTTCTGCGACGTTACCGCTCGGCCGCTGGTGGGCCCATTTTTTTAAATGAAACTGTTATGCTGGTAGAAGTTTACCCTTATTCTTAAATTAAAAAAGAGGGTTATTAAGATCTTGTATTAGTAATGCTTATTTGTGCAGAAAAGTATAATCAGTAAACTAGTTTCCATTAGATGTCGTAAAATGCTCTTGTCTTTGGAAACATGTATATAAGAAATAGGGGGAGATTAATTTCTGCTTTGTCACTGTTTCTTTTTGTTATACAGTTGTATTGTTATCATAATTTGTGGCATATCTGTAGCTGAAGCAGGATCTAAATATTGAGAAAAATACAGGTGAATGTTAACAAATTTACTAAAATCAGCAAAAAATTATTCCTTCAGCTCCATATAAAATTGCAAAAGGTTACTTAGCACCACCATGTAGAATATTGAATTCTTGAAAACGTTCATAAAATGCTTCCTAACATTATCATACATTAACAGTGTTAGAATGGAGTAGTAACTGAAGGGGGGAAGCATTGGGTGTGCCTGTAATTGTGAAGTAACTTGAAAATGCTTTTCTAGATTGGTTTCAAGCTATGAAAAAAAAAAATTTATCCCCCCCCAATGCTCTTTTTACTACCATAGCGAATGCACTAAAATTTTAGTAAGCAAATTTTATATCAATTCAGGGATGGTTGACAAGTTGGAAACAGAGAAGAAACATTATTCATCCGAAACTACATAGTGAGAAAGAAAAAAGCAGATCATCATGTGGCTGAAAACTAGATAAATAATGCTTTACCTGGCTGCTAAATGAATGCAAGCCATATGAAATTTATAGTACAGGCATTACTGGATAGTGATACAGAATATTAAGAGAGTGCACAATCATGGATGATAAGTAATATTTTTACTGATTTTCTTTTGAAATGTGGCAGTGAATTGGAAAAGAAAAAATAACTTTACTAGTTAGATATATTAGTGTCTCTTCTTGAAAATATAACTCCTGATATTCAACCGTTAGCCATCTATTAATTTTTCGAACCATTTCCAAATAAATCTCTTTTTCTTCATTCCAATCAAAACTAAACAGTAGCAGATGATTAATTTGAAAAACCAACTCTTTATCTCAAAATGCTAAAGAGAAAATTTGAACAGAAAAATTGTTTCCGTAACATGCGAATGACCCTCTGTACTTTTAAGTTCTCTGTACTAAAACTTTCAAATGTTATTACAGAAAAGATTTTCAGAAAATGATAAACAGAATTGAATCTTGTGGAAATAAAGGAGAATATGCATTATCTCTGCTAGAGTTCATGCATATATGCAGGGGGTCACTTTCTTCTTGAGAAATTGCAAGCTGTAGATAATATTTAAGAAAGCTCTTGAATGTTGAAAGGTACTGAATAAAAAAACTACCAGCAGTTTTATAAAATTGAGAATAAAATTGAAGAACTGCTGATGAAGAGTATGAAACACAGATTGTTTTGAAAAATTTTAAACTTCAGTTGTATACTTATTATTAAAATACTTTTATTTAAAAAAATTGAAAAATAAATTTCAGATTTGAGATTAGAGATTTGGGTAAATACTTTAATTTTTAATTATTTTTTAGGATTAATTATGGGATTATTTGTTAGTTATTACTGTATAAGCTTTATTCTATGAGTGTTATGTACTATATAAGTTCAAAACTGATATTACAGAATGCAAATTGCTGTTTGTTAAGAATGCAAATTGCTGTCTTTAATAAGCTTGGAAGAAAAGTGATATTAACAAGCGACAGGTACTATATAACTATTCATCTTGCATTTAGTTAGGAGTTGAAGTACATTATCAGTGGAACATGTTCCCATTTGTCTTTCTGCATGTTCACAGCCCATTTTCTATTGTCAAGATAGCCATTCTTTTCTTAAACCATCAGCATTATGATATTAGAAAATACAGGAATGAAATTATTTGCCTTTTATTTCTTATTTTGTTAATTAGTACATGATACTTTGCAAAATTGTTTAAAATTATTATGTCCATAATGTAATTTAAAAAATGAAATTAATCATTATTAAAAAGTGCAGTCTGTTTCAAATTATAATTATATTAAAAAAAAATAAAAGTACCACTTCTAATATTGTGAGCCCCACTTAAGGGGCCAAAGAGGCACCATTTTCGCATACCTGATCTATAACTTCATTACTTACATGTTTTTTTCAAACACATTCCTGCAGTTTAAGTCTATTCTCTATTTCAATAAAGTGTTTTAATATTTTAGTAGATTGTAAAACAAGTTTAATATTCATACTTTATGATTTAGTAGTTTGCTAATAATATTTAATAGGAAAAGAGTACGTTAGCAAATTATCAAAGTAAGCACATTGTTTTTTAAATTCAAACATTTGCTCATAAACATGTTCTTTTTGATTGAAATCATCATAACGTTAATTTCATGCAATAAGCATAAATTTCTCTTAATTCATATCATGGGGAATATAACTGCTACAGTTTTATTTTCTTATTGAATATGTAATGGCTTTTGCAGTGCTAAATTAAATAGTCTTCGAAAGAATTGCATAAAGCTTTGCTGAAACAAAGTGTGATAGTGACTGTTATTGAATCATTTAGTACAAAAACAAATTTAAGTGTATGAGCAGCTCACAGGATGAAAAGTGGAAATCTTGAAGTATATTTTTTCCCACTCTTATATTGCTCACTTTCTGAAAGACAATGTCATTTCCCCTCCCATGTTCAGGTATTATAATTATCATTTCATTTGAATAACAACATGCATAGCATCAATTTGCAAGCATTGGTATTCTTTCAATTCTCTCTCAAGCAATGTTCATTTCCCCCCCTTTTTTTTTTTTGTAATTATGCTGTCCTTGCAAAAACTTTTAAAAACATTTTTACTGATTTTGATTTCAAGTTCGAGATTGGAGTACGGATTTCTTTTATAGTATAAATTACTTTTTTTATGAATAACTTAAAAGTACAGAGGGTCATTCGCATGTTACGGAAACAATTTTTCTGTTCAAATTTTCTCTTTAGCATTTTGAGATAAAGAGTTGGTTTTTCAAATTAATCATCTGCTACTGTTTAGTTTTGATTGGAATGAAGAAAAAGATATTTATTTGGAAATGGTTCGAAAAATTAATAGATGGCTTGAAGTTTACATCAGTGTACTTTCTGAGGAAAAATATGTGTATTAGCAAATTAAAGCAGTATAAAAATCAAGGTTATTTCATTTCAGATAAAGTTACTTTTAAGTATATTACATTTTAAAGTGAAAAAAATGTCTAGCTAAAAGTAAAAATGAAAAAAAAAAAAAAAAAAAAAAAAAAATTGTCACAAAACCAGTATCCTAAAATAGTCCAAACAAGTGAAATCTCTGATCCTGAAAGAATATCCATTGATTCAAAGAGCCATGGCATTAGAACTAGGAATGTCTTTTAGCTATAAAAGTAAAATCATTCACAAGTATTTAAAGTTAAAAAAGATGATTAAATGTAAAGTTTATCTGCTTTTCCCTAAGGAAGGGGGAAAATGTAGAAAATTATATGAAAAACACCATGCTGTCGACAAGTAAAAATTTATGATAACATCTGATGAGGGATGGATATATTTAAGTGACTTATAAAGATCAATTTTCTATTGCTGAGCTGATGAAAATGACTGTGTGGAATAGTTTTGTGAATCTACAGAAAAATTTTAAATTGGATTAATGATAGTTAATCCAATTCAAAAGATTTTGTTGAAGTGGTAAATTAAAACTCAAAACAGTCTAATATATGTCTCAATCAATTAATTCACTGTACTATATTAATCACCATGTCTTGTACTTTTCTGTTTTGTCTCAAATCTTTTAAGTTCTAGTAATTTCTATCAGTTTCTCAGATTTCAGTTTGTATTAATTGTTGATTTATGCAACACTTTAATAAATTTTGTCTAAAGTGATCTTTAACTTCACTGAATATTAAAAACATTTGACAAAACGTTAGATACTCTATATAGAAATGAAGTAGCAAATTTACTTAAAATTATAAGAAAGAACACAGTACCATATTTACTTTAAAAAATTACAGGGAAGTTCTAATCTGATTTTTGTATCTTTAACTATAGAGTTGATAACAATTTTAACAGTTGCACTATTAAAATTACATTATTACACTATTCACACACATTTCAACAGTTCATAATCATTAATAATCATGTATACAGTCCCTGTATTAGCATTTCAAGGATTTATCCAGGCCAAATCTTTGTGTTATATGGGAATTTGAGATATAATTATCATATAAGAAGCAGAATTGAGTGAATAAAAGAACATTTAATGATATTAAAAAAAAAAAAAGTAGTGTGCAGTATAATTAAAAACAGACCAAAAATGTACACAGTGTTTTTTTTAATAGTGTTTTTTCTTAATAGCAGTCATTAATCTTATCTTAAATGTCCTTACTTGGTCATTTCATTACAGTATCTTATGACTCACTAGACATGCACACACATGTGTCAGTCAATATCTCATGAAATTTTGTTACTCAGTCAGTATGCTAATCAGGCAGTAATGTTTCATTGAAATTTCAGAGGAGAATTTGATGTATTTATCCATTATATCTTTAATTTTACTGATCATTAAAATTTATTAAAGTGAGGTAAATGAATATTATGCATATGTAGGAAGCTAAAAATTTAAAAGGTAGTTTGATATATAATTATTTGTTTTCCTTTAATCTAAGTAAAAAAGTAATAGTAGTACTATTACTTTAGTAAAAAAGTAATAGTAGTAAGTAAATGTTTTTGTTCAGTTATTATTCAACATCCTTTAAGAATAGCATTTATATTAAATCTTAAAAATAAGAAAAATCCCTTCCTTTTTTTAAAAAAAAAAATAATAATAATAATTGGGAAAGCTATGCTTTTTTTTTACTACTCTAGGCAGTTTCATGTATAGTTTTCTGTGCATTCTTAATAAATTACTTATGTCACTTATCATTCAAATTTTATAGAAAGTGGCCAAATTGATAGTATATTTATTAAACCATGCCTAAACATACAGTTGCTTTTTATTTTTATTTATTATTTTTACTTCCTTGTACGAAGTAAAAAGGAAGTATTGTAATTGAGAAAAGTTTCAGGTATCATATTTCAATGCAAATATCCATTTTCACTGTTATCGAATGCAATTTAATGATGTTTGTGCATGACATCTGTACGTAAGTACAGGATACAGGACTCTTCCTCCCCCCCCAAAAAAAAAGATTGTAAAACTAATTTAAAATGAATTCTGAAGAGAATTTTTTGTGGTGTCTGCGCATACGTATGTATCTCGCATAACTCAAAAACGAGTAGCCTCAGAATGTTAAAATTTTGTATATAGGACTGCTATAACATGTAGATGTGCATCTCATCTTTTTGTTGCAATCGGCCGCACCAAAAGAATATAAATATATGTATATATATCTCCACTCTGTTATTTGCCTCAGTGATCTCAGTTTCTTTACTCTTATATGTTTGTAAATTGTGTATTTTTTGCTTTAAAAATGATTGAATAATGTTCTTATCTTACAGTTAAGGTTTTTATGCCTTTAGTAAATCTGTCTGCAATATTTTTAGAATTATAAACAATTTAAAGGTGGTTAAGTGCCTCTAAGCCTAATAATTTTTTCCTTGGCAGCCATTGCTAGTTTACATTTGAAACAGCAGAATAGTAGATTTGTTGCCAATCTACAGAAAGTAAGCTTCACAATAACAAAGATAACACCTTCTTTTATTATTGCGAATTAAATCATGCTTAATCCATTCTGGAATTTATTCGAGGAAAAGTGTTTAAGATTTACTTAATAATTTTCAATACAGACATCTTGAGTTTTAATGTATTTTTGCTTTGTCGCGAAGTGGAAACTGAAATAACTGAACGAGAAATACTGAATCGTCTCTGAAAAACTGTTTCTTTTTTGTTTTGTTTGCTTAATTTCTTTTGTACATCATTTTATATTTAATTATTTGAATAGAACATGTGGCGACGATTAGATAATTCGTCAAATGAGATTGTTACGAAATGTTCAGGCGCAGTGAGATGGCTTCTCCGCTAAGCAGTTTTAGGGTTACCATAAAATGACAAGGGAAGGCAGGGTTGCCACATTTGGCGAGAAATCGTCCATTTGGCGAGATTTGGTGACAAAATTGGTGATATACCATGGACGGATGGAGAACTTTTTGGAACGAATTCTTACCGTTTTAGCCCAGAATATTCTCGAACACAAGCCAAAAGCTATATAAACCCTGCGGGTACGCGAAGTCAGTTAGTCTCAGTATAGGTTGTGCCTCGTCTAGCGAGAGGGCGATAGTCAGTCATTAAGTGTGTGTACCTCGAATAGAGTGGCGAGATAGTATCGAGTTGGTGTCTCGTCTAGCGAGTCAATCCCTACGTGGAGTCGATCGAGTTGACAGCGGGCAGCGAGTGCCGAGTGGGTCGTCGAGTGCACCGAAAGAATCTCGTAGTGTATCGCGGTTAGTGTGCATCGTCGAGAGAGCGTGTTGAGCTCCGGGAACGACTGAACCGAAGAGTCAGGAGCCATGCTCTGTGTGTCACGAGTTGTAGCATGGAGAGTCTCGAGAGTACGTAGAGTTCCGAGAACAAAACGAGCATAGTCGGGAGCTGTACTCTGGTGCTTTGCAGTGAAGCTGTCTTCACCGTGATAGCTTGATAACCTGAAGGCTGTGTCGCTGATTGTTCCAGCGAGTGTATAGTAGATCTTCGACGACTGTAAACGTGTTTTGAAGCTGTCCTGACAATACTGGCTAAATAAATTTTGTTTCAATACTTCATCAAGTGTCATCATTATTCACTCCAAATCCTCACGAACCCCATACGAACGTGAAGGAAGAAAATAACGTAATAACTGGTATCAGAAGAAAGTAAAATGCAACAATATAAATTTTGTGCCTTCTGAGTTATAATATGGATGAAATAATACGCTGTTACGTGAACCTAGTGCCAGAGTGTCGCTATGGTAAACAAATATAGTGAATTTTAAAGAGTGCATTTATTCTAATGCAGTTACTATCGACGAAGTAGATTTAATTCAATCCAATAAGTTTAAATGAAATACAAGAAAAAATGGGTATAATTTAATATTCCGTACAAGGAAGTCATGTGGTGCACACATCAGATTTTTTATGTTAAATAGCAGGTACAGGAATGGCATTTATCATTCAGTATTTGAATATGAGTTGTATCAAATAATGGTCCCACTGCACTAATGATGAGGATGTGGTTGTTAATAGTCACCTATGAATGTAGAGAACACTGTAAAAATTTCTTTCTTCCTAGATTACAGATGCTGAATGGGAATAATCTATACGCATAATCAGCCTGCATGGTTTTTTTTTTTTTTTTTTTTTTTTTTTTTTTTTTTTGTATGTCTAGGAAAAAAATAGGGTGATTGTGGAGAAAGCCAGAATATGCATGGATTTATGTACCTGTGTGAGTGACAGATAATTCTCTACAGATTAATTTCTTTTTATGGAACATTTCCTGGCAATCTTGATCTCCCAATTTAGCAAGTGCTCTTCTTCTTCTTCTTTTTTTTTTTTTTTTTTTTTTTTTTTAATGTGAGAGTAGCTCAAGCAAAAAGTTTTCCAAACATGTGGCCACAAAATTGATACTTAAGAATTAGAGCTGCCATTGTGATATCCCTCATGATATACTATAATAAATAACAGATAGTTTCCAACACTGCTTGGAAGAATATATGGTGCAGTGTGTCCATCATTTAGCTATCATATTCAGATAACTGATAAATTTGTAACTACTAGTTGTTATTAATAAATAAGACACCTATGATTTATGTTATGGTATTATTAGTATGTTATGAATTTTGCGCACATTCATTTAGGAGCCTTTATAGCTTATTAATTAAAAGCTCTTTTTAAGTTACTGAAAAATTCTCAAAAGAAATAATGTGAAAAGTGGTATATAATTATTAAATTAAAATAATGAAAAATTAGAAAAATAATAATGAGCAGAGGAATGATTATAAAATTGATCATCATGAGAATAGTAGTTGATTTAAATATTTGTCATTTGATTTCGAGAAGATTACTGAAAATGAAAATGCCAGAATTGATACTAGTTGAATCTAAGATAGCCTTTGCAAATCCTAAAACCACCAGCTTGGTATATGTATCTTTTGAAAATAGGATATTGAAGTACATAATGGATGGTGATAATTGGACATGGTGTTACAAGTAGGGATTTGGTGTGCTTTGCTTTCTGGATTCTGCTAAATTAAATTTTATTTTAAATAAATAAAAAAAAGACTAATTTTTACCCTTGTGTTATTTGTTCCTGCCTTCCGGATCCAAGATTACTTTAATTTTTTAAATATAACATACTTTACATAGTATAATTTAGTAATTCATTCTGTCATCTCTGTAATATGATTTGTTTTTTGTTAATATTCAACATATTTTGTATAAATAATCAAAACTTTTTATAACTGAAAACTTTTATTTTAATCAAGACTAGTAAGAAAAAAGCTGAAGCCCGTTTGGAAGCAATGAAAGAAGCTGGAGGTTAGTAAAACAGCATGATTCAAAACCAAACTGATAACTGTTTAAAATAAATACTTAAAAGTATTTAAAATACATGAAATCATTTTTCATTTTAGTTAATGTTGAAGAATGGGTTAGGACATCAGATACTGAATCTGTGAGTGCTTCCGATTCACCAGCAGAAAATTTCAGCAGATCTGGAACTGTGACATCTAGAAGTAGTCGTCAGTCAGAGGTACTCAATGTTTCACTATTTAGCTATGTAATGCAAAACTGCTAAAAATGTATATGAAAGTTTTCAAGTGTAAATGAAAAGTGGAATGCTGTCAAAAATGAATTAAAAAGAAAATTTCAAGAGATTAATTTCTGTGCAGTAAAGTTACACTGTTCACCTATGCATTGTCTTATGCAAATTAATACATATAGTGATGTGATTTAGATATAACTTTTTGCACAATTTTACAATATTTTTAGTGGACAGGATTGTAAATATTTTAAGAATAAATTTAAAGAGCATCAATTATATTAATATTGAAGGCTAATTGTAAGAGTGTAAAAATCCATGTGTTATTTATGTAGTGGATTTCAATTTAATAGCATTTTAATTATAAATACCACTTGTGGTTAGTTTTAGAAATTAGAATCAAGCTTCAAATAAATGTTAATTAATTTCCAAAAATTTGGTCATGATGTCCCTCCTGATTATAATTTTTTTTCCCTTTCAATTTCATAGCTCGCTGTATAGAGCCTGCAGTTCTTTTACGTGGTAAATGGTGATAGATATTTTTTTCGTGAATTGGCGTATAATCTTAAAGATTCTGTATTCATGTTTTTTAGCGTTAAAATTATGTCTTTTATAATCTTTAGTTACATGAAGCTCAGGACATAATATGCTAGATATATATTATGATTTAAGTACTAGTTCATGAAGCCAAGAAATTTATTATTCAAATTGTGAATTTTTTTAAAGGATTTAAAATTTAATAATAGATAGCATTGTAATTTGTTAATTTTGAGAAGAGAAAATTTTCCAGTTTACTTAGCATAAATTGAAAATTTAGAAAAAATAATTATGTCCAACCCAAATATGCATTTTAAGAAAAACAGCATAAGAGATTGATTATGAAATCAAGCTCTGGAATTTAGAGTTAAATAATATTATCTTGCAAGAATGGTATCCTTAAGACATATAAATGGAGAAATGATAATTTTTCAACAGTTAACATTAGTATACTCTTTAATGCTTTCAAAACAAATCATGAACTATAGTTATAGAAATAAATTTATATGAGATGTCACTAATCTGATTGTTGTAGTTATGAAAGGAGATATATATTGTATATAGGTATAAAATTATTCGCTGTATGATCAATATAACTTTAATTATTTTTAAAAGATAAAAGCATTTTTTACAAGTTGTAAAATTTTTTATGTTAACAGAAAACTTAGTTTAAAGAATTATATATATGTGTGTGTAAGATAAAAGTTATATACCTGTATTATACTTTAAATTAGCAATAGTTCCTTAATTCCTCATTTTAATTTGTGCACTTCCCCTCTCTTTTCTAAAAATAGGAATAGCTGTTTTGAAACTGTGTTATGCCTGAAACCTAATTCCATGCTATGTCATTTTAACTTTTGCATTGCATATTTCTTAGCCAATCAGATAAGCAAAAAATTATGCTAAAAATGTCATTGTAATCCATCTACACACTCTCTTTTGCCATTTGCTTTGTCTTTAATAACTCACGTCTCTTCACTTATTCACGTTCTTCTGTTGTTCCAAAATGTAGCTCTATATACAAAACTTTGAGCGGGTGTCTTATTTCTCACATGAACATGTGTGAAGCAAACATTGAGTCTCCAGAATTGCTTTATCCAATAATAAAATTGTATTGAATTTGGCCATGTCTGTCTGCAAGTCCATCATTTCCATCTATACAGCTCTGTCAGTGTAAGTGTGCAGTTTGAGAATCAACAGGTCATCTGCACCATCGAATCATTACACATATATATAAAATTTGTTGAATTAGGGCATTGCTTGTTTGAAAAGTTTGGTTTTTAACATTTTAAAATTCTTTATTGCATTTACAGGATTATTTGAAATTTATTAATTATGAATTTCAATTTTTGGTCTTTGCAAAAAATTAGTTCTGAATTTCTTACTCCATGTCTTTACTGATAATTTTTCAGCAACTTAATATGCGAAAATACTAGACATGTTTATATTTTGTTTTTAAAAAAATTGGTTTGTAATTATGAAATATATATATTCTTCTGAAACATTAAGTTGTATTTAGACTGCTATCTGAACTTTGTTTCATTCGAATCTTTGAAAGAGCATTAGATTTTATTAAGATTTATTACATTCAAAACATCAGTGACATTCAAATCTTTAAGTAGTATTTGCATTTTATTCAAGCCTTCAAAACAACAGTGATGAGAATTTGGGGATTTTTCTATCATAAGGTTTGCTAATTTGTAGTGATTTGTTTTTCCATAGAAGTCTGATAAAATACCAATTGAATCATCAGTCATTTAAAATAGATTTTGATTTTTTTTCCTGATTTCAGTAATTTTTATATTGTGATTAAGTATTTGAACTTGTTGATATAAGTAACTGCTTATTACTGTCAAAAGAATTTATAAAATAATAAGTTCCTTTAGTTAAAAAAATCAATAAAGCAGCAGTACAAAATATCATTTTTGTGATTCAAGTGGTGACAAATTCCTGAATGTCGATGACTTGAATGTTGTTTTGCAGGAGATGAGTGTCACTTACCGGTAAGCATACACATTAACATGTTTGAGTTCCTACTGGGTTTGGAACTGTATACCTCCAAACTTATGGCTATCTCTCTTATGTTACAGCTATTTCTCTAATGTAGCAAGAGCTTTGAAGATAACTTGTGTTAAATCTAAAGCTAAATTCCTATAGATAAATTAATTTGTTTTCACTGATTATTTTATCCGGCCACTTAGCTGCCCTTAATATTTTATTAACTATTGATACTATACTGTTAAGTAAATCACAATGTTCATTTTAGACATTTGAAGGAAGCATTGAGGCAAGTGATGCTGCATTTTATGATAGTGATTCTGCTCAAGAACAGCAAAATGTATCTATAGATGCTGGACAAGAATCTCCATATGTACCAGATTTGACTTCAGCAGTTGATGTCGTTGCTGCGGTTCAAGAGGCATGGGATGCTGCTGCTGAAACAGAGGAAATTGAGGAACCAGAACCTGTCGAAACCAAGCCTGTTGAGTCTCAAGAAACTCTGGTAAATGGAGAAGTACCTACGGCCGTTGCTGCTGGTCAGCGATGTGTAGCTGTGTTTTCTTATGAGGTAATTGTTTAAAATGTTGGACAAACATTAAAAAATTGCCCTTTTGCAAATTCTTTCAATTTTTTTTCACTTCAGAACGTGTGTGTGTGTAAACCTTATTCCAATTTGATGTTAGTCACATTTGTATTTTTAAATTAATATTTATATTCAGGGAGAAAATCAAAATCATTACAAAAATGTGTGAACACTCTGTATATTTACATCTATTTCCCGTGCATGCTTATGATTTATACGATTCCTGAATAAATAAATACTTCAGGTTTATCCAGGTCCTGCGCTGAACATTTTATGGCTTGGTGTTGGAAAATATAGCTTATTGTAAACCTTTTACTGCTTCATCTCTCCTCCTTGAAATGTTTATTTAGTTTAGTTCTTATTTTAATGTAATATAGTAGTTACTTCTACTTCTTTTTCTTGCTGCCACTGTTTGCATTGAGAACGGACTGTTTCAACCTAAATGAGATGCAACAACGAAACGTGATGTTACGTCATCTGAAAAGCCGATTCGTGCCGATAGCTGATTAGTTGCCGTGAGATGACGTCATTCCTACTTCTGTTATAAGTATCTCGCGTCGCTCTGGCTCAACCCCTTCTAGTTCCTGCTTTCCTGGCACTTGAGTGAGCGGTTTCCAGCCCCTTCAGAAGGATGCATGTAGTCTGGTGAATAAAGTACCTTGGTTCCGATTTGCGGGATGGCTGTTCCTGAATAAAGTTCCTTGGTGCCTGTCCGCGGGATGATTGTTTCGGAATGAGTTCCTTGGTTCACATCCATAAGATGATTGTTCCAGAATAAAGTTCCTTGGTTCCAGAGGCTACCATATGAGTGACTGCTGTGGGCGGCATCCATGTTCTTCAATGAAGGCGGCATTTAAAACACGTGAGCGGCGATTCCTCGTGCAAACGGAGTTAGGCCGGTTTTAAGTGTTTTCAAGAACTTGATTTAAATTTCAGGTGTTTTTCTCGACCATTGATTCTGGACTTATTGATTATGGACTTATTGAATGTGTAGCCAGCTTCATTTTTTAGGCCGCATAATTACTGTTTAGGACATTTTTGTTTGTATTGAATGCCAGTGTTTTGGAGACCAGGTAAAAATATTATTTGATGAATGATGGTTATATTATATTTTTCCTAAGACTCTGATATTGTTGAAATTTATTTTCTGTGTTTTTATTCTTTATTATATTGTTAATAAATTGGTTAAGTTCAAAATCTTTTTATTGTCTTCAATGTCTGCACAACACGATATCTCAGGGAGCTTTTATTGCTACTACTGCTAAATGTTTAATTTCTTTAAACTTTAAACTTTGCTTTAGCATCATTTTGGTTATGGGCCCAGCCCCTGAGTTATTTTTAGTGCAGACTTTTGAAGTTTAAAGTTAATTTAGGACTTAAGAGATTGGGGGGGCGGTTTTTGTTAAAATTCAAATATGGCTACTGTTAGTGTCATGCATAATATTGCTAAACTTGATGCATGTAATTATTTTACATGGTCCAAAGATATGAAATTTGTTTTAAATGAAAAAAAAAATGCATGGCTTTTGGTTAAAGGTATTGAAAAATGTCCTGATTTAAATGATGTTAAGGGTATTACAAAAGAAATTATTAGCCGACTATCAAAATAGAAATCGATTGGCATTATCGTTAATTTATATGAATGTAAGCCCTGAATATAGAAACTTGATATGTGAAATTGATGACCCGGTAGTGGCATGGAATACGCTTGCCAAATACTTCCAGCCAGATTATCGGTCAAGACATATGTCCCTGTTTTCAGAGTTCTTAAATTGTAAAATTAAGCCAAATGAAAGTATTAGTTTCTTTTCTTCTAGATTAAAACGCGTAACTGAACAGTTAGCTGATATTAATCAGGCTGTAAGAGACGTATATATATGTTTCCAGTTTCTTAGGTTCCTTCCAGATAAATTTGATCAAGTAGTTCAGAATGTTTTGAGGTGGCCAGATGAAAAGTTCATTTTAAAAAATGTTGAACTTGAAATACTAGCAGAGGAAACGCGTCTTAACTTAAGAGAGATAGATAGGGAAAACTCCAATAAGACTATAGAAGTTCAAAGTACTCACTGTGAACCCAAATTTAAGCAGATTAAAGGGCTCAAGTGTTATAAATGTGGCCGTCCAGGTCATATTCAAAAATACTGTAGAATGAGAGGTAATTTTTCCAGATCACCCTCACCTGCTTCTTCTGTTTCCTCAGCTGTATCTAGTAGTAATAAAACATCTTCTAAGTGTAAGAATAAACCCAAGTTGAGTAAAAGGTAAAAATAATTCCCATGCTCAGTCCCATTTTATAGCTCAAGCTAATGTTAACAATTTGGAAGGAAAATGATGATAGTTGGATTTTTGATACGGCTGCATCTCATCATTTTTGTAAAAATCGTGAATTGTTTGATACTTTTTCTCCTGTGAAAAATGAGAATATGCTAGTAGCTATTGATGGGGTAACTTTTCCAATTCATGGGAAGGGTACTGTTAAAATGAAATTTGGGGATACGGTTATTTTGCTTAAAGATGTGTTATACTCACCTGAACTGAGACGAAATTTAATATCTGGACCTAGAGTAGATATCAATGGAGCAAGATTTTATGGTAAAAATGGGCAAATTAAAGTTACTGATGATGAAAATTCAACTTTGTACAAGGCTAAGTTGATAGGAAGTAACTATCATGTATTCCCGAAAATAGTCAAAAAGGGGGGCAAATCTGTAAAATTTGAGGCATCCACAGTTCAGCATAATAATAGTGAATTATGGCATGGTCGGTTTGGTCATATAAATTATGGTGCTATTGTCAGGACTAGTAAGAGACATTCAGTTCGAGGTCTTCCTGTGTTAAAGCACTCACCTAATTTGTTTTGTGAACATTGCCAAATCAATAAGCAAAGACGAATCTCCTATAGACCCTTAGAAGGTATTCAAGTAAAGAGACCGCTTGAAAGGGTTTTTTCTGATGTATGGGGACCTATTAACATTCCAGGTAGGAATGGTGAACGTTATTTCGTTTCCTTTATTGACGAATATTCTCGTTATGTGGTAGTGTACCCCATTGTGGAGAAAAGTCAGGTGTTTGAAGTATTTGAAAGGCATATAGCACGTGCGGAAAGATCTTTGAACCTTAGGTTGAGATACTTTAGGACTGACAATGGGAGAGAATATGATAATGATCAATTCAGGTCATATTGTAATAAAAATGGTGTAAAGCACGAATTTACAGATGTATACACTCCAGAACAGAATGGAGTTTGTGAGAGATTTAATCAGACAGCTCTCAACAATGTACGTGCAATCTTACACGATAGTGGAATGAGTTCCGAATTTTGGTCAGATGCAGTAATGTATTTTGCATATTCATTTAATAGAATTTGTCATAAGGGCCAAGATAGAACGCCATTCGAATTATACACTAAGCGGAAACCATCAGTACGTCATCTTAAGGCATTTGGAACGATTGCCTATGTGGGAATTTCAAAGGCTAAAAGAAGTTCTAAACTTGATCCAAAGGCAACGAAGGGCCGATTGATTGGGTACAGTGTACGAACAAAAGGGTACAAGATTTGGTTGAAAAATGAGCAAAAGGTAGTAGAAACCCTAAATGCTACTTTTAAAGAGTCAATTGGAATGCAGAAAAGTGGCAGTGGAGCTGCACTGGGCACCCTTCCTGATTTGGAATCTGAAGAAAGGGTAGAGTTCCAATCTACTGATACTCCAGTTGGCTATTTTCCTGAAATAGAGGAAAGAACCGATACCAATGTACCTTCTTCTACAATTGGCACTGACACTCAATCTACATTGAGACAAGTAACTTGGCTTCGTAAACCTGTTCCAAGGCCAGACGGCACTCGTACGGATGTGTATTATTTTGAGAGGGGGTCTAATCAAAGACTACGATCACCAAATGATGTAGAAAGGTATTGCACTGAACATAATATTCAGTATGATCCTACCTTGTTTGATTTCAAGGGAAGCAATACTTATAGTGGTGAAATCGACCCAACTGGTACTCCTTCAACGTCATATACCCGAGATAGCTGACTAGAGGTTTCAATTCCAAACACTTATAACCAGGCAATGAAATCCACAGAAAAGCTTAAATGGATAGAGGCAATGGAAGAGGAAATGGCCAACATGCGAAAGCATAAGGTATGGCATCTTGTTCCACTTCCTAAAGACAAGACTCCACTAGGTTGCAGGTGGATTTTCAACATTAAACGTGACGAATTTGGAAACATTGTTCGTTTTAAAGCTCGTTTAGTGGCTCAGGGTTATCGGCAAATTAAATACGATACCTATGATGAAACCTACTCTCCTGTAGTCAACTTTTCAGTAATAAGGCTCTTTTTCTCCCTTTTAGTTGCACACCTTGGATGGGCAAATATACAATGCGACGTAAAAAGTGCCTATCTCTACGCTCCTTTATCAGAGGAAATTTACATGTCCCAACCTCAGGGTTTTGTAGAGCGAGATAAAGAAACTTTTGTGTGTCGTTTAGATAGAGCCTTGTATGGTTTGCATCAGAGTGGGCGATTATGGTACTACGAGTTGGATAGAACACTATGTAACCTAGGGTTTATCAAGTTTGAGTGGTGTAATTGTGTCTATCGTTTTTTAAAGATTTTGTCATTCTGTTGGTTTATGTTGATGATATAGTTGTGTTTGGGAAAAAGTGAAGTTCAGGCCAAAAGGATATTAAAAGTCCTGAGTTCACATTTTCGATTTGAAAATTTTGGGTAAAACAAGAAAGCTTCTGGGTGTGGAATTTGAATATGAGAACAATAGTGTTTTAATTCATCAGCAATTATATATAGAAGACATAGTTGATCGATTTAAGTCTTTTAAAATACAAATTACTTCCCTTCCAATAGTTAAAGGTGTGAAATACTCAAAGTCTCAAAGTCCCAGTACACAAGAAGAAACGACTGAAATGATGAATTATCCTTATAGAAATGTTTTGGGATGTCTCTCGTTTCTTTGCAATCGTACTCG